AGACACTCAACATTGGGGAGAGAGGAATGGGGACCAGCCAGGCTATGGCCCGGGAGAGGGACAAGCCGCACGCCCCTCGGTCCTGGGCGCCAGTGCCTGTGTCCCAGGCAAAGCCGCCCTCCCACAGTCCCCTGCATCTGCGGCCGGCCCTGCTGAAACCAGCCTGTGTCCTGGGTGCCTGCAGCCATTCAGAGGGAGGGAAGCCCGGGTCCTGGGTGCCTGAAACCGGCCAGAGAAGGGAATCCTGGGCCCTGGTGTGGGATGAGGCAGAGGCAGTTAGGGGCGATCAGGCCAGCTGGGGAGCAGTTAGGGGTAATCAGGCACACAGGCAGAGGGGTTAGGGGTGATCAGGCAGGCAGGCAGGTGAGCAGTAGGAGCCAGCAGTCCCAGATTGGGAGAGGCAGTTGGACATCCCTCGAGGGGTCCTGGATTGGAGAGGGTGCAGGCCGGGCTGAGAGACCCCCCCCACACCCCATGCATGAATTTCATGCACCGGGCCTCTAGTATATGTAGAAAATCCCAAAGAATGTACAAAGAAAATCTATGAGGATGAATCACTGCTAATAAGCTATTTGATAAGTCAGTCAGGAACAAATGAGAACTATTGACTAAAATTAGATATCAAAATTAGCTATAGATTTTAATTTCTCTGATTCTCAATCATTCAATAGCACATGTGATTTCTTAGAAAGCTTGATTAATTCTGAGATGAAAATGAAACAGACTAAATATAAAATTGTAGCTTGTTTATCCACAGTCAGGTGAAATTATCATTTGAAATCAAAATGACCTTAAACAGTCAAATTTCATGCAAATAAAATGAGTTCTACAAAAACATAGCTGGTCATGAAAAGTTAAAGAAAAAGTAAGTTGCAACCTATAAAATTCTCATGAACTATACCTACCTCTCTGGCTCGAAGGAGTTGTGCTTGCTCAATCTTAGACATGACTTCCTGCACTGAGGCAGGGGTCTCAAGTCTAGAGGCCTCAAGGTCCGCTTTGGGTTGGATGGTGTAATCCACAGATTTCTTTTCTGAATCAGATTCAGTGTGTGTCTCATTTTTCATTTTGATAAAGTCGAGTGACTTTCTTTTATTTCTTTTTCTTCTTTATTTCCTCCTCAGAATATAGGCAAATGGTAATAAGAAAGCTAGAAGTCCACAAGAAAGCTAGAAGTCTTTCCTGCTCTCAGAGATTGTGGTTTACCTCGCCACTAATGTGTTGCTAACCATGGTGTTCTGGTCCTCATGATGTCATAATAGACCTGTTGTGACATTATCATTGACTCAAACATTCTAAGAGTGCTTACTATATGCAGGGAACCAGGCATTCTATATGCTGTGATGGTAGAAGGGTGCAGGGCAGAGGGTGGAAAGAACAGACAACAGGAATGATAAAAGAAATAGAAATATAGCCCTGCTTACATAAGCTTAAAATCTAGGTGATAGAATTCAAGATCCAGTGTATAAAATGTAACTCCTGGTTCTTCTCTCTTCTTGAAATTTTGCTTAAGAATATTTAAGCCTGTAATGGAGTAATTGTGTTACAGCTTCCTCAGCTGCCCCTCGACTTTTCCTAGACATGTAATAACTTAGAAGATATTATTTGAATGATGACTATATTCTTTGCACTGCCTAGTTACCTGTCTTTTTCAAGGAACCTGACTGAAGAAGGCTTTGAAGCTCCATAGTTGGCTCCAGAAATGGAAGGGCACTAGGGGTTACTTTCCAACTAAAGAGGAGTACTTTGGGTAGCTTCTTTGACTGCAGAGGATGTGAAAGGATGTAAGAGGCTGGAGAAATTTATGGACAGTGGTTTTGTTGGCTGTATAGCTTTCTTATTTTTTAATTCAAAAAATATGAAAAAGTACAGAAAGTAAATATGATCATGTGTCTGTCACCTAGAATGAACAAATATTAACATTTTGTCATATCTGCTTCAGATCTTTTTTTATTATTGATTTGAGAGAGGAATGGAGAGGGTGAGAGAGATAGAAACATTCAATGAGAGAGAATCATTGATTGGCTGCCTCCTGTATGCCCCCTACTGGGGATCGAGCCCGTAACCCGGGCACGTGTCCTTGACAGAAATCAAACCTGGGACCCTTCAGCCTTCAGGCCAACACTCTATCCACTGAGCCAAAGCAGCTAGGGCTGCTTCAAATCTTTTCAAAAGAAAGCATTAGATATAAGTTGAAGTCCCTTTGGTATTCTCCCCAGACTCCTTCCTTCCCCTGTGTCCCTTTTTAGAGGCAATGACTGTCATGAATTAGACATATTTATGTCGAGTCTATATTTATGTAGTTTACCACCAGTGTATATATTAACAAACTATATAATATTGTTTTATAGGTTTTACATTTTTTACAAGTTGTGGATGTATTACTTAATTTCTCTATAAACACTTCCAATTGAGTCCTTACTATAACCTTATTGTAAATTTAGTCCTACATTGAGTCCTTGTAAACTTGTGAAGTTAAACAACTGATATGTTGTAGGCTTTCAGAAAAAGGGAAGCAGAGGATCATAAAGCAGTTGTCTTTTAAAAATATCAATATACAGAGAGCAAATTAGATATTTTTCCTTCTCTTTAAGATCCTGTTGTCTAAGTTACTTCCTGTTTTCTCAAGTCACTTTGTAAACTTCCTATTATAGTACTTATCTCATTAAAGTGTAGCTATTATTTGTCTCTACCATTAGTGCAAACTCAAAACCAGATGCTGTACTTAGTTTTCTTTTTCTAGCATTTGATGCATTCTTTCTCATTTTCTCCACAGATACTGTCTAAATTTGGATATCTATTATAATTTCAGATTTCTCTCCTTACAGAAACTTTTCTAAGCCCCAGAACATTTTCTTTCTTTTTTTAATTAAAAAAATTTTTTTTTATTGATTTCAGAGAGGAAGGGAGGATAGAAGCATCAATGATGTGAGAGAGAATCATTAATTGGCTGCCTCTTGCAAGCCCCCTACTGGGAATCGAGCCTGTAACCTGGGCATTTGCCCTTGACCAGAATCGAACCTGGAGCCCTTCAGTCAACAGGCCAACGCTCTATCCACTGAGCCAAATCAGCTAGGGCCAGAATAGTTTATTTTATTGTTAGACTGCCCATTCTGCCCCTACTCATAAATTATTTACTCCCTCCTTTTCTGTAAATCACAATTAAGTATATTTATTCAAGGAAGTTCATGATGTTTTCTGAAACGACCATGATTAAAGAAAATTATTTATTTTTATAAATGTGAGGTTTGTGAAAATATCCATCATTATCCAGCATTTGTCATTATCAATTAATTTGTTTAAGTACTTTGTTGAAAATATTACATTGAGAGATCCTTAAATTGTTTTTATTGCTCTTGATTTCTTTACATTGCTTACTCCAATAGGCATTCACAAAGCAGCCAGCATGCTTATCAACTAAACTAATTTAGCATTATTGTGCTCTCATATTTTTTATGCAGCATGGAATTCATCAGCAACTGGAAATGAAGATTTTTTAAAGCAAATTTAAAACTCTCTCCTTCCCTTTCAATTGGAGAAGCATTTTTTGAGACACTACTATGTGACTACCATTATCCTAGACTTTGAAGAATATAATAGGGTACCTGTAAAGAAACAGATAAAAGAAAATAACAAGATAGAATGTAATATTCAAGTGCTAACAAGGGACATGAAGAAGAGATCTGTGGGGAGTACAGTCTTTGGGAAAACCTTATGGAGAGAGAAGGTTGATTGATAAATGAAGGCTTTCCAGATAGGGAAGACACTTTGAGCCATGGCTTTGGAGGTGAGTACTGAGCTTGTATTTCAGGGGGGAAAGTGAGGAGATTGGTTTAATTGATATGAAATAATGTTGCATTTACTGATGATCAGATTAGGAAGAGTATGAGACACAAATATCAACAATTTGATGGGGGAATTGATTTACTATCTAATTGAAAAAGTAAAGAAATGCATTTGAGGTAAAGGGAGATTACAAGGGCTCAGAATGGTCTTGGAAGCAAGTAACAGCAGTTTAGTGGAAATGAAACCTTCAGTTTATATAATAGAATGGAAAAAATCAAGACATGATTATTTCAAAAGTGAGTGCCTGAACCAGGATATAGAAGTGGGACTAATGAGGGAGGTATAATAAGGAATTTGGACCATCTAACAGAAAAGTAAGAATTTTTGTTGTTTTGGTTGCTCTGCCTGTGGAGTGCCTTCTGTCTGTCTCACTGCTTCACTAATAAACTTATTTCACTTTACACTCTATATTTCATTTGTATTGATGGCAGAACATCAAGAAGAAGCTATCCAGATTAAGTATTAGAAAGTAGCATGATATTAAGCGGAGATGTGGGTATCTGATTTTAAAAAAACAAACTAACAAGGGCAAAGTTCCTTAAAGGTGTGTCTAAATGAAACCCGCCCTTCTAGGAGGATTAACTGTAAAATGCGGATAATAGCATTTACTGCATGTAATGGTTTTAAGATTACCATAAAATACTAAGAATAGTGCCAAGCACACAGTAAGCGTTTAATACAGCTGCTGCTATTAATATGTTTACTATTACTGTGGGTTTTTTTCCTTCTCTACTTTTTTTCTGTGAGCCACCACCTTTTCGGCAGGGTTGGCATTCTTTCAGAACACTTCGCACACACACACCAAAATAAAGGAAAGAAAGAAAGAAAGAAAAGATTTCGCACAAGCTCGGCTTTTTATCAGATCTAAGTTTGAGCTATGAAAACTGCGAAACTAGCCGCTTTGCAATGGTTGAAACGCAGTAAGACCCTTATACACCCCCGTAGCACAGAATGGTGCCTTCCCGGACCGCTTCCCTCCCCCCACCCCCGGGACCGACGGTAGTACATCCTAGGCTGCCGCTGGAAAGGAAAAGGTGGTGCCAAAGTGGCGTGCGCCGAGGATTGTCTTTGCTCCCGGAAGCAATTGTTCTTTAGCACAGGAAACAGTTGATGTTTCACGGGAGGTGGGACTGGGCGGGTCAGAACTCAGCGGCTGACGGCGGGGGAGGAGCCGGGTCCGCTGCCGGGTGGTTGGGCCGGGCGAGTGTCCTTATCCCAGCGCTCGGGGCTCGGGCCTGTAAGCCTTTTGGAGTAGCAGCGGCGAGAACGATTGGGTCGAACCGGGAAGGCATGTTGCTCTTCGTGGAGGTGAGTGGACTGGGCTATCTTGTCCTGCCCCGAAGGGAGCGGGAGCGTGGAGGCGCGGGCCGGTCCCACCGCCATGTGACTTTCCAGGCCGTCCACGCCGCGGAGCCGGCAGCTAGGCTGACACAACCCGGGCTG